AGGCTTCTCTCATGTCCCCGCATGGGGAGTTGGAACTGACAGAGGGAGCTCATCCGCACTCTCCCCAGATTCGAACCTGCAACCTGTTGGTCTTCAGTCCTGCCGGCACAAGGGTTAACCCACTGTGCCACCAGGGCTCCTTTAATCCAGGTAAACCTGGTTCCGATGTTCTGATGGTGTCCATTGAAAACTTCTGTTGCATCTTTCCATCACACAAATGGTTTAGCAACCAAAGCACAAAGCTACTGATGACCACCTTTTCCCCAACTTCTTCTCCAATCACCACACATCACCACCATGCATCTTGTACATTAAATGAGTAGGCTAACCAGGGAAATCTGCTGAACCATTTCATTTTAAGACTCAGGAAATACATATCCTGAATTTCACTATATCGGCTATTGCTGCAAGTAATGACAGTGTGAATACATTGTTAAAAATTGCTTGAGATAGTGCTTGAAGTTCTGGAGGGTCTCGTTTAATTTTTGTTTCTCATTACTTAGCATGGGGATTTGGTTAACCAGTTAAAATTCATAAGCAAACCAGGTTTTTTGGGGAGGGGGGGGAGGTTGGACCCCTCCCGCCCCTTGACTACAGGTCTGCTCACCAATGTTCGACTTCCAGGATCCCATAGCTTTGAGCCATGGCAGTTAAAGTGGTGTCAGGCTACAATAATTCCACAGTATAGATGTGCTGGTTTAAGTACATATGGGATGTCACAAAACCAACCAGATCACAAGGTCTAGAAGCAACCAGGTTTACTATGATAGACCTCTTCCTCTAGGAATCCATTATTGATTGTGTATGAACTTGGTTTTCTTAAGCATGAGATGAACCTCCCAAGGGAAATCTGGCCCTTTGCTCTCCTGGTTTGGGGTGTGACTTGATTAGGACAGGATTAGATCTACATTATGGGAGATATGTTGCTCTTATACTTCATTGTACTCCAGTTAAAAATGTTTTCTTAGCCTGTCAAATGTACAATTCTTCAGCCTAAGTTTGTGCTCCATTTCCTCACCACTTGAAATAAAGAATTATCTTTCTGCATTTGGTATTTTGGAGAGATTTGACTCACTTTTCCACCATTTTTTTGCCCAAACCCCACTCTTTCTGAGAAACATCCTCTTTTTAAATTAAGTACAATAGTGATGGAGTTTATAGGCAGCTTTTCCCACTTCATTGTTGTTGTTGCTGCTGCTGCTGCTGCTATTTATGGGCAAAATGCACGTAAGTATTTGCCTCCTACAAGGCCAGACTATTTTGCCTCTCTTGTAAAATCCCAGTGCTGGATATGGTTGTGATCACCATACCTCACAATGTTGATTGCAGAGCTGACGAAAGTGCAAAAAGAGGCAACTAACTGAAATTATTTGGAGGGGGAGCAATTCTGCTAGGAAGAAAATCTGTAGTACTTTTATGCTTATGAAAAATAGTCTGCCCAGCATCAAGAGTCAAAGACTTATTTCCCTGCATTAACTAAATTGTTGCAAGTACAGCATCCATATTGATATGTATCAGCATGTAAAGTGCATGAGGTGGAATACAGAGAATGGTGGTTTTCGGATGCTCTCAAACAACCCTGTCTCCTATCTAAACTCCTTGGAAGAGTAATAAGTAAGAGCCACCAGCCTTTTATATTGTTCTCTCTTGCTGAAGAATGCAGTGAGAGAGATTTTGGAGGGCTGTATCATTTTTAATTGTAACTTTTTAAGTCTCTTCTGCTGTATTTTTCAGTGTTTTTATGAGTGATGGTCACTCGTTGGCCTGATAGGTGTATTGTGTCCAAATTTGGTGTCAATTCGCCCAGTGGTTTTTGTTATGTTAATCCCAAAAACGAACACTACATTTTTATTTATATGGATGCATTCACTCTTTTTAATTTGTGTTGCATTTACATAATGTTTGCTTAATTCCTATGTCGGGAGAAAGGCGGGATAAAAATAAAGTAAGCAAGTAAATAAAATACCTTCAAAATTCAAGTTAGGTAAACTCTGGTTTACAGGCACATTTTGTCTGTGGGGTCTTCTGTCGGATCCTTTGAGGCCCCTTCCCCAAGTAAAGAATGGAAGCAGTATTTCCCAAGTACTGAATAAGCACCTATTTCAAGGTATTCCTGGCATCTTGAGATAGTAATCCAATCTCCTGTGCTCACTACCAAATGTTTGAAGCAAGAGAAATTGAATGGGTTCCTACCTCAAGCACTGTAACTGTGTGTCAGTGCTCCATCAGAAAAGGAGAGGGTTGTGCACATCACCTTGTAGTCATATCGTAGGCACTTCAGCATAGAAATGTTCTCATCCACTGCTCCCCATTTAACCAAGCTATTTATGGCCATTCTCTCTTAGCCTCATCAACATCATGGGTATTATGGGAAGGTTGTGAGGAGAGCCACATCCATTGCCCTGTAATTAATAAATAGACCTAACTCAACTAGCAATAGCAAATACCCCGCAGGCCTTAAGTCATTAAAAGGGAACACCCATGGATGCCACATTATTGTGATCTCTCTCCATGATGTTGTTAAACCCAGGCTTCAGCATACATGTGAGAATTAGGAGTCCGGATGTGACAGCAGGTGCCTGTTTGCTCAGGGGATAAAGTCCAATTTAGCTGACATTCATGTCTGACTACAACATACTGTAGGTCAAACAGCCAACAAATCTAGAAGTTGACCACAGCCTTGTGTCAACAGAGGTGGAGTGAGACCAAACGTCACTTCCTGTTGCTACCTTTTCTCCTACTCCCCATCCCATCTCCATAAGTTTTATTGTACCAAACATCTCTCTAAAACAGAGTCCATTTATAGAATATCAACTATCTTAACTATCTCAGCAGTGACATCCAACTTTAGGGCTGAAACATAGCTCTAAAAACACAATATGCACAATTTAGCCAAATAATGATTTCATCAAATGAAGCACTTTATTTATCTGCAAACTCGCAATCTTCCCTCCAGCACCCAGTTCATGCGTGAAAGCTGGCCATGAACTATGATGATGTGGTCTGAGTAACTGAGGGACTTTTGATTTGTTTGCACATTACAAGACAAGAAATGTGTGTTTAGCTTTTATTAGCCCTTGTCAGCATACTCAATAGTGAGAAATTCTGCTCAGCTTTGGAACATTCGGTGGATAGTACAATTTCAAACTTAGCTGGACTAGATAATATGTCTGTCTGTCAAGGTACTAGAGTATCTATTAAACGATAAGAAATGTGTGCTGTTCCTAGTATCATTTGATTCAAACTTGCATCAGCCCTAGCGAACATATGGTCAGCACTGATGGGAGTTAATGTCCTTCAACTTTTGGAAGATTGCATTTTGTACATCCCCTGATCCAGTTGCATTCCTTGCTCTCTGACCCAGTTATTAGAAGTTGCTATCTAGTGGCTATTTTGAAATTTGTCCTGTTGTTCTTTGGTCAAGCAGCAAAGCTAGACAGGTTTTTTTTCCGTGTCAGGAGCAACTTGAGAAACTGCAAGTCGCTTCTGGTATGAGAGAATTGGCCATCTGCAAGGACATTGCACAGGGGACACCCGGATGTTTTACCATCCTTGTGGAAGGCTTCTCTCATGTCTCCGCATGGGGAGCTGGAGCTGGCAGAGGGAGCTCATCCACACTCTCCCCAGATTGGAACCTCCGACTTGTCGGTCTTTAGTCCTGCCGGCACAAGGGTTTCATCCATTGCGCCACCAGGGGCTCCTAGCTAGATAGTTATACAACTATAGCAATGTCAAATGAAAAGATTCAGTGGCAGACAGGATACTCTAAATAATACGATCTTTGAAATTTATTCTACACATATTAGTTCAGCAGCAAGGCCAAAAAATTTGGTCATTTGACCATTCATTCTAAACTCATGGTCCAAAATGTACTGCAAGGAGAATGTTGCCATGGCAGATACATCAATGTGGGAAGTTCCCTGAAATCCAAAGGTTCAAAAAGAATGGATCTAGTGACATCTCCAAAACAAAACTCGATTTTATATAACGAACACCATTTTATTACCCCACTATATATAATGGAACTTGAACGTGCATTTTGGTATCCATGGGCGCAAAACCCCAAGGGATACCTAGGACCCACCGTACACATGGAGAATGCTGCCCCTGGAAAATGCAGACGGGGAACAAACCCTCTTTCATGTTAACGCTGTGGCTTCATCTACCTATTATGATGCAGTAGAAAGGCAGATAAAATGTCAGAAGGAAGTGTAGCAAAAGCTTTTTTTCCTGGAAAGAGATCTCCAGTATGGTTATTGAAATCCTTCCAGAATTTAAGGTCCCTGAACTCGATTGCTTGTTCACTCAAAGTCAATGCATGCACATACATACAGCAAAGTAAAACATTTCAGATGCCTGAGGTGGCACCAAACTAATGTTTGCTTAACACAAAGTTCAAGATACTCTGAGACATCACTTTATGCCTGGGTTTTTCTTTTCTACTTGAGTTTGGGAGGTTCGCCATATAAAATTTGAAAATATGAACTAAAATAAGTATGCTCGGAGCGATACCCTTGCATATTAACAAAAGGCACATACTTCTGGCTTTTCTCAAAGACCTCTAAACCCAGATCATGGTGCATTTAAAGCTCCCAGAAACCCTGGTCAACATGGCCAACAGTCTGGGATTCTGGAACTGCAGTCCACTACATCCATCCTTCACCAATACTGCTTGAGGGGTGTTTCTCAGCTTGTAGTTCATACACCTCTGGGGAAATCCATGAACTGGATATATGCTTAAATATATATTTTATGGGTTACAAATTGTGAGGCTGTTGCATTTTTTCTGCTAGGTGAAGATCCACAACTATCATTAGAGACTTAAAGAGACCCAAGAAAAAGTTAAGAACCACTGCCTCAGATATATAGGCATGAAATCTGGTTGTGACACACAGAAGAATCAGTTTCTTCCATGTTTGGGGTTGACAAGGCAATTCTCCTCCTCCCACAGTTTCTTTGCAAGAGAGGTCCCACCAAGTAAGAAAAGTCGACAAACTAAGTTGTTAATCTGCATTATATTTTCATTAATAAATAAGTTCTCTTTTTAATAACACTGAACACTTAACAGATTCCCCGCCCACCCCATTTCCTTTCCTTCCCACACACAAAGAGACAATGTCTATAAAACAGTCACGTTCCCCTCTCCTTGCACCTCCCACTTCCCACCTCAGAGGGAGAAGGAGAGGGAGCCCAGACACCTGGATCCTAGAGGGAGAAGGGGCAGCGGAGGGGAGGGCAGGGCAGGGGGTGTTGGGCACAGAGGGGGTGGGAGGTGGCCGGAAGAAGGGAGAGGAGTCCACAATCAGCCTGCCCCCAACAGGCAACAAGACAAGCAGCAGATGGAGAAGATGACCAGACCAGGGCCCATGAGATTATTATTATTAACTGTGCATCAGAAGGGGGAGGGGGAGACACGGTTTCTTTTGAAGCCTTCAAGTAGGAAGAGCAGACCCCACCATCCAAGATGTTGCTATGCCAAGCCCCAAAGGCCCTCCAGAACAAGGCTGATCTTGGGCCAACCTTCATGGTTGCAGTCCAGCCAGACTCCGATCTCCCCCTCGGGGCTATGCCTGGAAGCACACACCGCAGCTGCATGGTGGGAAGCATTGCAATGCGGAAGGGATGACAGGCCCGCCCAAGCCAGGGAGAGTGGGGGAAACTGGACCCTTCTGGATCCTCTAGGGTCTGGCCCATAGGAACTAAGCTGCCTCCCCCCAGTCCCAACCCCAGAAGAGTCAACTGGAGGGTCCAGTGTCCACACTGGTTCCTTTGTCATTGCTGCCGCCACCACCCCCTGCTCCCAGAAGCGGGTGGCCACTTCACATAACGGAGCAACTTTTTGCTTTTTCCTTCTTGAAAGTGGAGGAGATGAGCTCAGATCTGCTGGGCAAGCGGAGGAGTCTCTTGGGGAAGCTTCGAGCCGGGCTCTTGGGGGTCTGGGGCCCAGGCTTGCTGAGGCAGATGGAGGCTGCTGTCCGGAAGATGCTGTGAACACTCTTCTCTGACGTGAAGGCTGAACACTCCAGATAGGTTTCGGCTCCAAGCTGCTTGGCAACAGCACAACCCTGAAAACAGAAAGCAAGAGAAAAAAGAAACATGTGAGATGCTATGGTGCCAGCAGCTGTCATGCACAGGGTGGCCACAATGTCCCTGCTAAAGAATCTGATCTCTCATTTGCCCACTTGTTCCATACCTACACAACAACCTGGGACACACACACACACACACGACGACGACTATAAATGCACAAGAGGATAGATTTTTATGGATGCAGGCATGTCTATTGAACCTAAAACTCCTTGCATGATTCATCTGCACAGTGTATTTTTCATTAATGCGGCTTTCATCAAGTCTTTGTGTATGTAGTGGGTTTGCTTGCTGAGTTTGTACTCACTAGACCGAGAACAGATTTTGTTTTTTTACACATTCTGTGCGCACAATATTACTCAATTCATCTTCTGTCACTGAAGAATAGTAATGCAATAGACTTTCCATTTTTGCATGCGTTAGGGCAGGCGTCCTCAAACTGCCAGCTTGTTCAATGGTCAGGAATTTTAGGAGCTGGAGGCCCTAACAACTGGAGGGCCGGAGTTTGAGGTTGCTTGGATTGTTGTTATTGTTTATACTCCACTTTTTCTCTCAACAAGGAGACTCAAAGCAGCTTACACTAAAGCATTTCAATACAACTTAAAATATACAAAAAATAAAACAGAATTAAACATTAATATTAAAAACAAATCTGTTAAAATCCATAAAACATATTCAAAACTAAAATCTATAGCAGCCTCTGACTTGATCTAGGGGAAGTAGGATGTCTGAGAACCTGGAAACACAACAAATTAAAGAATACATAGAACTTGACCATAAGGTCACCCTGGAGCCCCCAGAGATAATATATTAATCAAGTCTGCGAATAATCAAATCCACAAAATTCAAACAATTTGAGTTTGAAATTTGCTTTGAATATAATGACTTGTACTTTCATAACTGCAAATATAAATAATACCCAAAGAAAAGCAGTTTGGGGGGGTTGGTCACATCAAGAATGAAGAAACTTGCTCTTCACATAGGAAATCCAGACTAGGAGAAAGGTCTTCATTATAGGTTAGAAATCAAGAGCAGCACCAGACAAGGACTTACCTGTTCATAAGAGACAGGGACTTGCTTTTGGTGGGACAGTTCCATCAGGGTGCTGAGATCTGTCCGCAGGTCTATCTTGCAACCAATCAGCAACACACGGGTGCTAGGGCAGTAGTCCATGATTTCTGTTTTCCACTGGGAAGGAAGAGAGGGAGAACTTAAATTGCATGCACAAAACTCATCCCAAGCTTGCAAGGCTCAAAAGTATTGATCGTAGATAACAGAAAAGACACAACAACATAATACATCATATCCTCTCGTGCGAGGTTCATTTTAAAAGCTGAAACACAAACGGGGGAAGATTTATCTATCACCACCAACATGCTACACATTAGGTATGAGTTTGTTTTTTTGTTTTTTTTAAAAAGCAATGTATCACGAGTTTCAAAAGAAAACTCAAGCTTCAGATATTCCAGAGATCTGGAAGAAATCTCTATAACCTCCTTACCCAAAAGGGGCTAATCTTAATCCAAATTGCACATGACCAGAATTAAGTACTACTGCAGACATGAGTAGGTGGAGGTGCCCACAGATGTTGAAATGCTAGCGCTGATTATCGGGTTTAAATGGCAAGAGACAGATTTCAGTTAGTACCCTATGGATGTTTGAAGGAAAACATTAATAAACCAGTTGGATTATTAGTCTAGCAACACTACTGGGAAGGGAATATTTGAGGGGACTTAGAAGAGACCACCAAACCGTCTATGAACTGGCACGGGCATTAAGATCTGCTGAGGAGGCCCTTCTCTTGGTCCCACCACCATCTCAAGTACATTTCGTAGGAACGAGAGAGAGAGAGAGAGAGCCTTCTTGGTGGCGGCTCCCCGGGTCTGGAATACCCTCTCTAAATTATATTAGTCCCCTCTCTTCAGGCCTTCCAGGTAAGTCTAAAAATATGGCTCTTCAGACAGGCCTTTGATCCTGAGTAATCCATGGTAACCGTGATGAATCATTGATAGTACTGCTCCAAACTTTGATTGTTATGACAGATAGCCAACTTACCCACTGGTTCTACTGCATTTTAAGAATTTTATAATTTTTATAATTTTATCAGTGAGATTTTTATTTTTATGTGCTGTTGAGGAGATGTTGGCAGGGTACAAATAAATATTTAATATTATGACTAGCTGTACCTGCCACACGTTGCTGTGGCCAACCTTCCCCTCTTTCTCCCCTTCCTTCCCTTTTTTTCTTTCCTTCTTCCTTCCCTCTTTTCTTTCCCTTCCTCTTTCTCCCAGTTCTTCCTTCTCTACCTATTCTTGGGCTGCAACTCCCAGCAGTCCTCCTGAGATCTCTCTCTCTCTCTCTCTCTCTCTCTCTATCTATCTATCTATCTATCTATCTATCTATCTAATCTAGCTATCTGGAGGATTGCTAGGAGTTGCAGTCCAGGAATAGGAAATTGAAAATATGCAGGGATTGGGATGCTATCAAAGAAATCCAAGGAAAAGAAAGCTTGCATCTTGGAAGCAGTGCGTTTAGATCATCATCCTCTCCTAATGGGCATGGTCTAGGGAATGCTGGGAGCTGTAGTTTGGAAGAGAGTGTGGATATGCTATTGTTTTTTTCACCGGGTAAGTCATTTTTGCACATGCGCTGTAGCGTCTTTTTTATTTTTTGGCTTTTTAAGTCCCTTCTGCTGTGTTTTTCAGTGTTTTTATGAGTGATGGTCACTTGTTGGCCTGATAGGTGTATGGTGTCCAGATTTGGTGTCAATTTGTCCAATGGTTTTTAAGTTATGTTAATCCCACAAACGAGCATTACATTTTTATTTATATAGATTATTATTACTCTTTTCCATTGAACAGGCTAGGCAGTGATCTGGATATTAATGTAAACTATCAATGGGGAAAAGCTAACTCTAATTCAGTATTAGCTGTCACTTCATGGACAAAATTTAATTATCACAAGTGCTTTCAGCCATCATCTTCTCTAGTCGCTTTCCAAAATGTTCAGTCTACCCTATTCCAAAACATTCATTTGATTCTAGCCCCAAGTACGCATTGTAGGGCTCACAGTTAATGGGATTCTACAATGCCATCTACAGTCTCAGGGGAGGCCAGTGCAGACTATTTTCAACATAGATTAGAGTGACAGGAATGCTCAAGACCTGAAGGGGCCAGAAAAATAAGCTTTTCTCAATATAAGGCTCACCATGACAAGGAAAGTGATTGGAAACATTTTAATGTCGCACGGTCGATGTTAGTAGACTCTAACTCACCACTGGCTAGAGGTGATGGGTGCCACAATCCAACACCAAACCTGCTGACCCCAATTTACAACATGGCCTCTAAATTAGCATGAAGACTTGTGCCATGGAATGTTTTCTCTTCTACGCTGCAGCCTCTTATGCCTGCCTCCAATATTTATGGCAGAAGAGTCCCTAAGCATCCAGAACTAATTTCCAAGGGGGAGCTGGAGAGATGATAGCTGACAGAATTGGTTCCACAGGCAAACACTGTGCTTTGCACTGACATAACATGTTTGGATACAGCCCATTATAATCATCGTAACCATCATGTGAGGTTGAGTAACACTGCAGTTTTGGGAACCTTCAGAATATTCACTGACAAGAGGATTTACTGGAGAGCTACATAATAAAAAGGAGCAGAAGAAGAAACACTATCCATTTCCAGATAATTTACAGCCATCTAAAACAGACATGGGCAAACTTTGGCCCTCCAGGTGTTTTGGACTTCATTTCTGTTGAACAGGCACAGCATTTATAGTAGAACAAGAGATAGAAGTTACTGTTTTTGGAGACTATAGCTCTCAAAATCTTCCAGCCAAAATGGCCGGTGGAAGTGCCGATTGGAAGGGTCTGAGAACTATCATCCCTCAAAGCATCTTTTCCAAGACCTGCAACTGAGCAGGAGTTGGCTGATCTAACAATTCAACTTCAGGAACTTGAAAGGTCTACATTTCAAAAAGATGCTTTTGGTATTCTTCCTGAGACATTGGTTCTATTATGCACCTTTCCAGTTATAATACCATCAATATCTAAGTCATTCTCCAGGGGATAAGAAGGGCTAGGGAGAAAAAGAAGTGTGTTTGCTGAACAGGTCAGTCTCCTCATGAGTGTTCAGTGCCTTATAAAAGTGGCACCATCTAACAGGGAGTGCTTTAAAGCACCGAACCACATAATTATACTTGTAAAGGATTCCCATTACATTAAGTCTGGTTGTGTCCAACTCTGGGGGGTGGTGCTCATCTCTATTTTTAAGCCAAAGAGCCAGCGTTATCCGTAGATGCCTCCTAGGTCATTTGGCCTGCATGGAGTGCTATTACTTTCCCACCGAAGCAGTACCTATTGATCTTTATACTCAGCTGCACATAAATACATGATATCGCTCTCAACTCTGTAGGTTTACAACACTTTTTCAGATGACAGAAATGTGTCATGTAAATATGGAATTGTGCTCCCAAAAGTGAGGGGGTAAAGTGAGGAAAAAAGGGCCCAGATAAAAGGTTATATCAAAATCCACAGTTCTGCTAACCTCATGTATGAAGTGGGCTATGAGGTAAGATCACAGGGTGGAAAAGTTCAAACCTCCCCTTGGGATAGATATTTTAAGGGCTGTTTAACAACAGAATATGTTGTCTCAGAGTGTGGTAGAATCTCCTTCTCTGGAGGCTTTTAAACAGAGGCTGGACAGCCAATGGCAGGAAATGCTTGAATTGTGTGTTCCTGCATGGCAGAATAGGGTTGGACTGGATGGCCCTGGAGGTCTCTTCCAACTCTACAGTTTTATGATTCTGTAAGAGACCAAGTAATCATTCTTTCTTGGAAATGGTTCAAGGAGGGAAAAACTTTGACCTTCTGGGTACTTTGCATTGTAACTTCCAAACTACCTTGTTATGGCCATGCTGGCTGAGGCTTCTTTGGATGGAAATCCAAAATTATGTGCAGAACAGAGACTCACCCACACTGTCCTAAAGAGCTTTTTTAGCTTTGTATCTCATCCTTACTTATCCTAGTTAGACCATTGAAGGTCAGGAGTCTGGGACGCCATCTGTACTAACATATAATGCAATTCAACCGAAGTAAACTGCATTATATTATTTAATTATGACATTTATATGCCACCCTTCTCACCCCGAAGAGGACTCAGAGCGAATTACAAGATATATATACATACATTATATAATATTATTAGCATAGTGCAATATCAGTATTAAATATTACTATATTATTAGTAATATTACATGTAATATATATATATATAATTATAATATATTATTAGTAGTATTATATTGCATTACATTATAATATTATACATATTATATGCATATACAATATTATATTACATTATATTATATTAGCATAGCGCAGGAGATAAGATGGAATTGTCCCCTGGCCCCCTCTCTCTTCACTCTGATCCAGAGCAGCTGTTGGTGTGAGGGGAGGGGTCCCCAATGCTGCATATGGCAGCATATCCTCATATAATCCAGTTCAATGCCGTTAAATTGTATCCTGAAACTGCATTATATGGCAATGTCGATGGGGTCTGAGAAATTCTGGTGAGTCCAGAAGCCTTAGCCAGCTTGTTCAAAATTGTCAGGAATTTTGGGGGCTGCATTACAAAACAACTGGAGGGCTGCAGGTTGTGCAGGCCTAGTGCGATCCTTGGAGCATCCTACCAAGCCAGAGACCAGTGAGTTGACATGCGCAAAGCTTCATGTCCTATGAGACAGGGCAGGAACAAGTAGGGCAAGTACGCACTGCTCACCTTCTTCAGCGCACTGTCCATGGTCTCAGGGCGGCTGACATCAAAGCAGAGCAGGACGGCATCTGAGTCACTGTAGCACAGGGGACGCACATTGTCATAATAAGGGGAGCCTGTGGAAAGCAGAGAGGCAGGTCAACAAAAATCAAGAAGAAATAAAAAAAAACCCTCTTTATCTCTCTCATGGCCTAACATAGCACTGCCCTATTTTTGGATGAGACACGTCATGATGCTCTGTGTGCGCGCGTGCCCTGCTTGTGCGAGAAAGCGGCTGTGACATTTTTTGCTCACTTGCAGAAGAAAAGATAAAAGAGACCAGCCGTTGACGGAGTGTCTCCCCAGACCCTGTTCCCCCACCCACCCACCCATTGTAATATCTTCCAGCCTTCTCGAGAGACAGCTTCACCGTGGTTTATATAACTAAGGCCATCTACCCACCCACTCCCAATTCCATACAATCAATATGGGGGTGTGGGGGCCCGGAGGTCCCATTTTGTGGAGATTTAGGGGAGGAAGATGCAACGTACAAGGAGGACACAGGGGTTGCTTAGCAACGTTCCTTTTGCTGGTGAGGGGCGAGAAAAAKGGGCTGCATATCCGCAGGGGAGGTTATGCATGCATGAAAAAGGGGAGGGGGCGAGGACTGCACAGGATAGTGGAAGGGAGCTGCTGCATAGATGAAAAGGGGGTGGGAAAAAAGAGGAATGGGATCACAAAGCAATGCAACCCCCCCCCCCTCCAAACATCTCCTATCAGGAACAGCAGCATCCCAAATGCTTCTGCAGCCCAGACGCTGCGTGCCTAGAATAGCAAGCAACCCCAGGCTCCCTGCACCATGGCCATCACCATGGCAACCGAGGGGATCCAAGTAGCCGGGGACCCCACCTCCGGCCCATTTCAAAAGAGGGGATGCTGCTGCAGCAACAGGAGAGGCCGTAGCCCACCCTCAGTTGCCAGGGCAACCCCTTCACRCCCCTCCACTTGCACACAATACTTTGAAAGAGCCCTGCATTGTAGAATGGGGCAGCTCCCCCTTAATCCCATCCCACCACCCCTCTCCCCGCCACAGATTCCTTTAGTAATGGTCCACCGAGCCCCTTCTCAATCCCTGTGTGAGTGCGTCTATTGGCACACAGGCACAAAACGGGCAAATCTTCTTCCTGCTCGCTGCATTCCAGAAGAGGAATGGGGTCAAAACGGATCAAGGGGAAACAGAGCACAGCACCTTCATCGGCCCCCAGACATTTGCTGGAGATGCAGGAAGAAATTGGGGAAGGCTGGCAGGGACCATTGCAGCATTTTTGGCTTGCAAAGGGAGGGGGGGAAAGGGAGGATAGCCTCTCTCATCCTAATTTTAAAAAGGCAGGTGACGGATCTGGCTCAGGAACATAGCCGTACAGGTGTAATAATAATAAAACTTTATTTCTACCCCACTATCATCTCCCAAAGGGGACTTGGTGCAGCTTACAAACAAAGCACTCAAAATGTAACAATACATTCGGTGCAATAAATATAGATACATCAACATCAAGAAGAAAGAAACCTATTTATCTCTCTTTGTCTCTCTGTCTCATGTCCTAACATAGCACTGCCCTATTTTCCACCAAAACCCAGAACTGAATCGCTTTTTAAATTAAGGCTGCATGTTGAAGACTGGGGTCTGTGCACATATTAAAAGAAAGGCACGGGTTCTGCATAACAATGCCTCTTTTCTCCATCTCCAGACTGCAGCACTATGCACAAAATATACACACACCCCAAAAAAAAACCCCACAAAGGAAATACTTGCCTTTCTATTCCTAAGTGCCTCAAATCTATCTATCATGAGTGGGAGGGGCAGAATGGACCCTATGAAATATACTCTCCTGGGCTTCAAAGCTGTACTTCCAACTCTATTGTTGTATGAAAAGACCAAGCAGTACCTCAACATTAAAATAAATACTGGAGATCTGTGCCCACCCTCTCCCTGTGCCAGCCAATGAGGTCCCGAAAGCTCTACTGCTCTGCTCAGGTTGTCTCACTGCAGCAGAGGGAGCCGGGTGGAAGCCGGCCCTGGAGTAGCATTGGCAGCAATAGAGAGGAAAGAGGGGCTCACCAGAGGTGTCCCACAGGCTGAGCTCCACCCGCTGCTCCTCCGTCTCCAGGCAGGCCGTGTAGTTCTCAAACACCGTGGGCACATAGGTCTAGGGTGAGAGGGGACAGAAGGCACACAAGGGTCATCCATGAGAAAGACAAGAAGAGCCAAAAGACAGAGTGCTATATTCTTTAGGGGCCCACACTGGCAAGGCAATCCAAAACAGAGTTTGCATCAGCCACCCCCAAAACACACACATCATTAATCTGGCAGCATGGCCAAGAGCAGGCTGAGAAAGAGCCATTCCAAGCACAATTCTGCCTGGTAATGGTACGTCAGTGGTAAAAGAACAGAATAACTTTATAATTTTACGTCATACATTGGGAAAAAATGCCACCCCCAATCACTTGTTAAACCCAGGACTGCTGACCGAAAGGTCAGCGGTTCAAATACGGGAAGCAGGGTGAGCTCCCGCCTGTCAGCTCCAGCTTCCCTTGTGGAGATATGAAAGAAGCCTGCCACAGAATGGTAAAACATCAGGGCATCCCCTGGGCAACGTCCTTGCAGACTGACAATTCTCTCACACCAGAAGCAATTTGCAGTTTCTCAAGTCACTCCTGACATGAAATACCCATCTATCTATAGATATATATGTGTATGTGTGTGTGTACAAGGGAAGATGGGAGGTTTGCACAACTGAGTCCCACTTTCTGTTTCCTCCAATCTGGAGCACCCCAGAACCGCATTGGATTGGGATGATGGCAACTCTTATGCCCTGGTTTAGAGGAAAGCTGACTTTAAAAAGGGTAACAATAGCACACCCGTCGCACACACATATACGGGTAGGATCCCACTAGAGGGGCACAACAGGACTTTCAATGTATACGGAAAATGTATTGTGCGGAAAAGCTGGACTTCAAAGGGAGGTGGTGCCCAACCTATGAAGTTGGCCCTTGGTATCCACTGGGGTTTGGTTCCAGCCCCCATTCATTGATGTCAAGCCCCACAAACGTTCAAGATCCATTCTAAACAATAGCATATTCATAATAATATAGTATTAACAATAATATATAAATCCTATATAAAATTTAAAAAAACAAGGATTTGTCCCATATTTCCAAGACATAAGACAGAATTAATAACAATAATATATAAATCTTATATAAAATAGCAAAACCAAGGCTTTTTTCCCATATTTCCAAGCCATATTTTGCAAAAAAATTGCAGATAAAGAGGGAAATCTGCATAACTGTCTAAGGAGAAAATCAGAAGGCATCAGAGTACATCCTAAAGCAGCCATCAGACACAGAGGACCAGCTATTATTATGCTTATTTGCCAATGGGACAGGGGCAATCACAGCATTTGTATCCAATGGATTACAATGGGTTTCCTCTTTTATTTCTTGGACTAACAGGGCCTCGTTTCAGGACAGGCCTCCCCAAACCCCAAATCCCAGGACCCCAAGACCCCTGGCTTGTTGCCACCCAGCCTACCTCAGGGTAGCAGTCCTTGGCTAGCACTTGCAGCATGGCCGTCTTGCCACAGTGGACTTCCCCCACCAACACCAGCTTACACCGGGCTACCACCGGCTGCGGAGTCCGCCTCTCTCTCATGGCCGCCGTCAGTGTTAAACCCAATGCACCAAAACCAGCCGCAATTTACAGTCCTAACTCGCCGGCCGGCTCAGTGCAGAAATGAGTGCGGGTGCCTCTGCGCGGCCTTTATAGGGAGCAGAGGGAGCCAATGGGAAGCAAAGGCGGGATCCCTTGCGACCAATCAGAAGCGCAGAACTCCAGGTTGAGTTCTTTAACCCCCCTCCCCGCCTTAAAGAGACATTCCGATGCTTTGGCTGTAAGAGCTGAAGTTTGTTATGGAAGGCGCGACTCAACTGTAAATCACTAAGGGAGACGTCAAGGGACTCCTGCATTCTTGTCTCTTGTCTCCGGCGCATTGTTATTTTTGTTTGCAGCCAAGTTGTCTTGGGCATTGACCGCCTTGCAAACTCAGGGTTGTGGCTTGAGGTTGCATCTCCACCAAGCATGGGGCAACCTCGGCCCTCCAGGTGTTTTGGACTCCAACTCCCACAATTCCTGGCCTCAGGCCCTTTCCTTTCCCCCCTCAGCCGCTTAGGCCAGGAATTGTGGGAGTTGGAGTCCAAAATACCCGAAGGACCGAAGGTAAGCAGCTGAGGGGGGAAAGGAAGGGGCCTGAGGCCAGGAATTGTGGGAGTTGGAGTCCAAAACACCCGAAGGACCAAAGTTAAGCATCTGAGGGGGGAAAGGAAGGGGCCTGAGGCCAGGAATTGTGGGAGTTGGAGTCCAGAACACCTGAAGGACCAAAGTTAAGCGGCTGAGGGGGGAAAGGATGGGGCCCAAGGCCAGGAATTGTGGGAGTTGGAGTCCAAAACACCTGAAGGACCAAATTGTAGTTTTGCAAGGTCTTTAGCCCTCTCTGGCAAAGAGTGCTGGTGCCTCTCTAAACTACAACCCCCAGGATTCCACAGTACAGAGCCCTGACGCTTAAAGCTGTATGAAACTGCATTAATTCTACAGTGCAGATGCACCTAAAGTCTAGAAAATAGCTCTTGTTGGGGACTTCTTGGTGACTAAGTCTGCTGACTTGGTGACCAAGCAGTGTTTGTTTCCCAGCATCCCATGCAAGAGGAAGTGGACTGTGTCCTGCCCAGGTGGATTCTCTCCAAAACAAACCCAGGTGAGTTTCCTTTGTGGGAGTGACTCATCACACTAGAGAATGAGTCCACTTTACATCTGGTTTCTGCCTCCTGCAGAATTCTGGGCCTTGTAGTTTAGGGAGGAGCGTTTAACAGCCTCACTAAACGACAACCCCCAGAATTCTGCAGGAGGCAGAAACCAGATTTTAAGTGGATTTTTTCCTCTAGTGTGGTGAAGTAGACTCAGATGCCTGAGTGTTGGATGTGTACTTGGTACATAACAAATGTTCACAAGATCAACAGGCTCAGCACCCAAATCTGATTTGTGAAATGTAAGCCCCAAGTGCAATTTTTTTAAATTGAGTTATTTGCTAAGCCTCTGGGGCGACCCAGTCACCTAATTTTAGTGTTAGTGGGGGGAAAAAATCAAAGAGCTGAGTAAATGTCTTATGTCATATAATTCCCCTGGTCCACAACACCAGCTGTTCCCAGCAAAGAAACTTCAGTGACTATTTCCAGATGGAAAACAAGGACTATTATGATGTTATTTCTATTTCCTGATACTCAAAGGGCCAGGGAGGGGAGCAGCCTCTTTGAAATCCTTCTAAATTGCCTTAAGTGACAATAGAAGTAATATCTGAGGGCCCTTCCACGCAGCCCTATATCCCAGAGTATCAAGGCAGAAAATGTCATAATATCTGCTTTGAACTGAGTTATCTGAGTCCACACTCGGATAATGTGGGATTTTATGCCTTGATATTCTGGGATATAGGGCTGCTGCGTGGAAGGGCCCAGAAACAAATGGTGGATCTACACCAGGCATGGGCAAACTTGGACCCTCCAGGTGTTTTGGACTTCAACTCCCACAATTCCTAACAGCCGGTAGGCTGTTAGGAATTGTGTGAGTTGAAGTCCAAAACACCTGGAAGGACGAAGTTAGTCCATACCTGATCTACACTATAGAATTAATGCAGTTTGACACCATGTGAACTAACAGAGCTTAATGCTTTTGGGAAGTGTAGTTTGTTGAAGCACCAGCGCTCTTTGACAGAGAAGGCCAAAGAAACAGCAATTCCAACTATTACATTGCACAATTAGAATGGTGTTAAACCATATTCATTCTACTGTGTAGCCCAAAATGCAAACCTGTGACTCCAACGAGAGTCCGGTACTCAGGCGAGCAAAAAGAGAGGCCCAAAAGAATTTTCCCTGATTTTTCCCAAATAAATATCACCAAAGTTGAAGAAAAGCCACCGAGTTGTTTTATTGCGTTCCAGCTGGTATGGATGTCAAACCGCAATAATTCGTCAGGAAGGACATACATTCAATACATTGCAGTACATTTTTATAGAGAAAAACGAGGCAGTCAACTTTGAATTTCCCGCTCTCGCTTCCCTAGGCAGCTTGGAGCTGATTGGCTGGAGTTAATAGTTGGAGGAGAGGCTTGCCCGCCTCGGCCAATCAGAGCGCCAGCGCCGCTTTGGCTTCCGAGCCAATGGGGATCGAGGAGGCAGTACAAGAGGGAAACAAAGAACCGAGAGGAAAATGAGTGGATTAAGTGTGCCTAAATGGCTTGTCCAATGGCCAGCGATAATCCGGGGATTCCTCAAGCTGGCCGGTTATTGTCTTGAGGGGTGAAATAAACAAAAGTGGCTGTCGCGGCTGTCCAGCCTTGATTTCCTTCAGTCTTGGATATGAGATTAATTTATGTTATCGATGTGTAGGTTTCAGCCATGGGGAAAGACAATGGATGAGGTGGAGGGGACATCCTGATCTTCCCTGAAGGCAGGATGTCCCATTGTTGATAAGTGACCAGGTTCACCATGAGGTGCCTTCCTGGGCGGCCATGCTCTGAGACCCAAGACGCACCATTGCTATTATCATGCAATAAGTCTTTGTTGGAATCCTTAAATCAATGGGGAATTCACCTCAGGAAATAGGAAAGAATTTCCCAGGGGTTTGTCATGCTAGGGTCACGAAAAGGTGGCTTCCATATTTTATGCACAGACGAATACATAAGGCAAGCACAGGGGAAAGGGAGAAAAAGGGAAATTCATATAATCGATCCCACCCACCAGAGTTCATTGAGAGTCCAATATCATGAAATCTTATAGTTCCAAAATCATAAAAGAGAGTCCATGGGGCTTGAGGAAAAAAAGTTCCAGAAAGTTTTCAAAAGTTCTTAAAGTTGGCAAAAGTTGATAAAAAGTTGTAAAATCCATGGGGCAGGTTGGAGAAAGGTGTCCCAGAGTCCATAGAGTTCTTAGGAGGCGACTGCCAGTGCTGGAGACCAGGATCCACGATAAGAACTACAGATCCCTTCTTACCAAGGGCCAAGGTGGCCCACTGACATCTTGGGGATCCTATGGGGTGACCGTGACAGTTTCCCTGGATTTGGCAGGCTCCTTGGACATCAATAAAATGGTGGCAACGAGGCAGTGCCTTCGGGGAATCAGCTGGGCTCCAGGTTGAGGTATTGGAGGCAAAAACGGTTATTCCCGGGGCAGAGAGGTTAGCGGAGCGAAACTGAGATAGCCATTAGCCTTAGAATTCTCCCCGGAAAAGCATGGCACCGATTTCAAAGCGATCCATTGATTGCGGATATGGGGGCCCAATGGGTTTCCGTATCCATGGTTCAGAGGAGCGCAGTTTCGGCCTCCTTGGGATGTGAAAATCGCATCCCGGGCAGGCCGGCAGCCATCTTCAGCCTGGGAGAGGAAAGGTTTATGCAGAGAACTGTTTGGAGGCAGTAAAAGACACAAAGTAACATTATTGAGAGGAAAAAGTTACAATTAATTGATACTTTATTGGGGGGATTTGTTACAATGTTTGGAAGGGGAAGAAAGTGAAGCAATACGAAGGCTTCTGGGTTGCAGCTGCTGCTGTGGCCACATTCATGGAGGTTGGCCCAAGCGGGGCAATAGAGAACTGAGGAACTCCCTGCTGCAGGTCAGATCATCTTGAAAGCAGGGAGTTCTGGGTTCGACCTCATTCCTTCTCCCACCCTGGACATTATTCCACAGATATATAAACCTCACTTGCCTAGTTTCCAACAGACCTCACAACTTATGTCTGCCATAGATGTGGCTAAAACATTAGGAGATAATGCTTCTGGAAAATGACCATACAGCCCAGAAAACTCACATACTTATATAGTATGAATGGGCCCTAGATCAAAAGCATGGTGTTGGAATAAAGTTCCAGGGAACAGATTTTACTGCAAAATACACATGGCAGTGTTTAAGCAAGCCTCTTTCATGGGAAAAATGCAATTTTTTAAAGAGCACAAACAGAATGAACTGCAAATGGTGGCACTTCGCTCTGCTCACCTTGGTTTAAGGAAGAACCCAGATGCCACTTACCAGAACAAAGTTGATTCAGCCAAATCATTTCTACTTTTGGGCCCTTCTAAATAGACAGCTCCTAGCCCCATCAATTAAAAGCAACTATGGATATATAATTGGCCCTTCACATTTATGGGCTTCATGTTCTTGGATTTGACTGCTCACAAATTTGATTGATGTTCTCCTTAGAAATCTCTAGGTTCTCCAACACATCTCTTATGATCAACTTCTGCTGGAAGTAAACAAAAAAATCACTAGAGGATTAGAAATTCCTACTAATTATATTTCTGTAGGTTTTTGAAAGCCTTCCAGTGCAATTCTGGCATCAGACTCCAGCAAAGTTGACCATAGGTTAGTTCCAGGGGACCTGGGGCTCTTCCAGACAGGCCTTATAAACGAGGATTTGATCCCAGGTTTACTGCTTTGAACTGGATTGTATGAGTCCACACTGCCAGATAATTTGGGATAAACAGAAAAACTGGGATCAGATCCTGGGATGTAGGGCCTGTCTGGAAGAACCCTAACCCTAAACCTCAAACTTTTAAACAGAGGGCCAGGTCACAAGCCCTCAAACTGTTGGAGGGCCGGTTTATAATTTTAAAAAAAACATGAATGAATACCTATACACATTGCACACATCTTATTTGTAGTGCAAAAAACCTTTAAAACAAT